TGGAGTTGATGAGAACTGGAGGTTTGTTTGGGGTTATTGTGTAAAAAAAAACAAAGTAGTTGATAATAAAGGACTGAAATACTGAATATTGTGGACATAATTTGAATGTGTTATAACAGAAGGTTTGTGTATGTGCCATTTAGGGTGTCCTGTGTGGAAATGAAGCGTGGGGGGCTGCTGGTGTGGTCCCCGGGAGGGCTGGGGGCTGCGGCAGCAGCAGGAGCTGCCGGGTCTGGCCGTGCTTTGCTGCCCACGGGGCTCTGCTCTTGGCTGTCTGTCACCCTTCCAGGGCACTGCTGCTCCTCACTCCCACTCGCAGCTTTTCCTGGGTTTGTTTTGCTGTTTGCAACTTAAGAACTTGTTTTTAACCTTTTCCTGGGGGTGGGGAGCGAGGGAAGGGAGAAGAGGTGACTGCAGAGAAATGTTTTCTGATCTCAGCCCACGAGGCTGGTCCTGGCCCCGCTGCTGCCAAACTTTGGTGCCTTGGCAGAGAGGAGCCCGGCGGTGTGCCCAGCCCTGGCCCGGTGAGATGGAGAGCTGGGGGGCACGAGGGAGCAGCCTCTTGCTTCTGAAACAGCTTCACCCAAATCTTCTGGGTGTATCCCCCCCTCTGCATGTTGCTTCTGTGTCTCTGGTCTGTTTGAGGCTGTTTTTTCCAAGAGGTGATGCTCTGTGCTGTGCTAACTGCTCTGCACAGGGGAGGGTCTTCATTTCGTGCTGCTTGGAGCTCACTGGAAGGAAACTTGTTCTGACAACAAACTGGGGGAGCTGCTGGAGAGCCCCTGCCATGCCCACAGCCCAGCGCTGCCTGGAGGAGCACCTTCCACGGGCAGGTTTGTGCACACAGCTCAGGGACTCCAAAGCATTTGGCAGCAAGTAGGACACCACTGCTTTTTTTTTTTTTTCCTGTTTTGAGTGATATTTGTTTGTTTTCAACCCATTATCAAATGTTTGTTAAATGCAGAGGATTTTCCTTCCCGCCCTTTTCCTTTGTCACATAAACATTAAAACATTACTCTGCATTCCCAGCTCTCCCAGCAGACTGTACTGTGAGCACAGATTTAATTCCTGTTTTCACAGGTATCCCCATTATAAAGGACTGTCCTCAGTTATATTTGCATTAGGCTGACGTGCCTGTCAACGTGGTACTGTTGGGCTGTGACAGATGTGCCACCAAACTGAGACACACACACACACACCTGTGGGCAGTGTGACATCCTGCAAACCCCATCGCTGCCACCACTGCACCGCTCCCGAAAATGCGCTCTCAGGTCCCAAGGGAGACTCGAGATGATTGTAGGACTGGGTTTGGTCTGACGTGATATTTCTACTCATTTTTGGTTTAGAGAAAATCCTGTGATGTTTAAGCCATGTCTAAGCTCTAGATCTATATTTTTCCTCTGTGACCAAATTGAAAATAGCTGCCTTGATATTTGATTGTCATTACTGTGGCTGCTTTACGTCTTGGCTGCTATCCATGTTCCTGTTGCCCTTGGTGTTGGGTGACAGAGATATGTTTATCTGGGCCCCTAATTTTAGCCTGGCAGCTCTTAAAACATCCAGAGTCCAACCTGCAAATAGCAAACTGAGGATTCTCAAAAGATATTTGGCTCATGCCCTTGAAATGATTGGCCTGTGAGGAAGGGCTGCTGGGTTTTGGGTGGCCTTCAGCTCCATATGATGAAAGCCTGGACAACAGCTCCAAGCTGAAATAAGATCTTTGAAAAGGTGCTGCAGGATAGGTACAAACAAATACTCAGCAGATCTCATGCCAGCTGCCATTTTCCTGAGGATTTAATACACCAGGAAAATGTCACATTTACAGGTTAAAGTAAAATGGGCTCAGTTAAGTTTTAAAAGAAAGAGAATAATGGAAATAAACCTCCTGTGATGCTCAGCAATCTTAGCTCACACCTTGGGCAGTCTGTGCCTCTCCTCAAGAGCTTGTCCCTCATGACTTTGGTTTAACTCAGTCTTACACTGCTCCATATGCTTCTACACGTAACTTGCTTGAGGTGGCCTTACTCGTCCTGACCGTACATCTTACAGCATCTGGTTGCTCTCTGGTATATCCAGTACTTGTAATTAATATTTCTCATTGCAGTTCACACGTGGGCTTTCAGAATGACTCTGCTGTGCTCCATTGCCAGTGTGTGTGGATGCTGTTTGCTGGTTATGTGGGGTTGTATTTGTGGCAGTTGTATTGGTCAAGGCTTCCTGCAGTTTGATGTTGAAACACAGACACGATGGGGCTGGGAAAGAGGCTGGTTTGGAGAGTCGTGACGTGGTTTAAAGATAGGGAGGTTTGCTGAAGCCTTTTAATCCACCGCATCTGGCAAGTGTGTCATTCATCAGAGTTAAAGTGATGTTAAATGGATTACTAAGCCTCTATGCACACTGAATTTATCATTGTGTGGTTTAAGTAAGACTTTGTGGTAAAATCAGCCATTAATAAGTGTCTAATTCAGCACTCGTCAGGAGCTGGTCCTGTCTAACACCAGTGCAGTCTGCTGTGGAAATGGTAACCCATGGGCTTGACCTCTCAAGCTGATTTTTCAGGCAATACGCGGGCGGTAGCGACCTCGGAGCTTGCAGTGCGTCAGGAGGCAGGAGATTGTCTTCTCAGGACGTGATTTTACCAAGTTGGCTCCAGAACCGCCGTTGTAGAGCATGGTTTAGCTGTCTAATCCTGTTAGCTGTCTTAGGAGCAACTATTTTGATTGTTCCACAAACCTCTTTGCTTTAAGCTCATAAACCCTGTGACTAGATAACTGTGGAGAGGAGATGTGGGTAGCAGGTGCTGGCATGGTGTGAGGAGGCCATGTATGTGTTGTCAGTCCAAACCCAGACGTGATGGAGGTCATCCTGGGTGGGTTTGCCTGGAACTACTTGAGACCAGCTCTGTCACCTCATTTTTTAAAATTTTCCCTTTGTTATAAGGCAGGATGAGACACCTACAGGTTGTAGGGAAGGGCTGCTCTTGGGTACTGATGTGTGATTGACAGAGTTTACAGCTGCCTTGGACAAGGATGTGATTCACATCTGGGTTTAATTCCTTTATCAGCTGTTTAGCTCTGTGGCAGCAGCGACGCTTCTGAGTTACAGCAACGTGGGAGAGCTCGGACCTGGCAATATTTTACTGCCTGACACAGCCACGGACGTTCAGGTCCCTGGTTTATCCATGCACCAGGCATTTCCTAGGGAATTCCAGGTCAGTCTGCCCTGTCCCTGAGGTCTTGCTGCAAACCTGTAACCTGCTTAAAGGTGGAATTGGGGTGGGACACACAACGATGGACACTTGGCAGCTGGTGGCTTTTTCAGGCCTGAATCCTACTTTCATGTTTGCCCATGAAATTCCCATTGGTACCAATAAGGTGTTGGATTGTTCAACCTTACCAGAGACCAAAAGGCTTGGTTATGGGCTAAATGAAGTGTTTCTCAAAGGCTGGTTTTAATTTAACTGGATTCTGTTCTTTTCCCCATAATGAGAAGGTACTTTATACTTGATTCAAAGCTTGAGCAGAGTTTTTTTGTGCAGACTGTGTAGGATTCCTCCTCCACAATGTGCTGCTGGTTTGTTTGAGGATTTCTGGGTTTGTTTTTTTTTTGGCAGGACTAATTGTCAACAAAATGAACTGCATGCTTAAGTATTATGAAAATGTAAAGGTGAACTTTACCTGCATTGTTGTATTTTTGGATTTTGATCTTCACTTGTGCAGCTCTGGAAGGAGCTGTACGTTTGGCACTGGTGTCAGGCAGTGTTTTTTCATTTTCCATCTTCTCCTGCTGTTGGTATCCATTGTTTTGCCTTTAGCTGGACAGTGGCACGTGGCTGGTACATCTCCCAGTTTCTGTACAAGATGTGTAACCTGCTCCTACCTCTGCCCCACTGGCCGTGTCCTTGCCATTGTGCAGATAAAGAGGGATTTTGTGCCTCAGTCGTGGCTGGCAGGGACTGTTTCCCTTCCCTCCCTCTGTAGCATGGTCAGCTGTAGCTGGAGGGTTGATTTGACTAATATGACATAATAAGAACCTGCTGCATTCAGGACTAAGCCCAGGAAAGATTTTTAAATAGGTGAAAGTCTGGCAGTGCCCCGGGTACAGCCCTGAAGCTTGGATCCCTGTTCCCACACGCTCCAGGCTGACTGTGTCTCCACACTTCAGTCTGGTTATTTGTGACACCCCTGTCATACTGGTCACTAGTATTATTCTGCATAATTATGTGTCTGTGGTGGGTTTGTGAAGGATCCCAGGAAAGGCAGAAGACTTTTTAAAGCTTCTTCTAGCTGTGCAGCAGCCATTGCCTGTTAGAGGATTGCTGAGGGATGGACAGGGGGGGTTTTAAACAGTCCTGGGCGCACGAGGCCATGGCAGAGACATGAATCTGTGCCATTAAACCCAGATAACCCCACCTCCAAATCAGGGCATGTGGCTGTCACCCATGTGAGACAAGTGCTGCTGCCTCCTCCTCCCGCTCCAGTTTGCCCATTGTGGAAGAGAGCAGCACTGGAGGTACAGAAATGCCACCTGCCTTGGTCCCAGAGCAGCCTCACCGAGGGGGACTTTGTCAGGGGGTGCAGCCACCACCCTCAACCGTTCCCTGGGTCCCCCCAGCTGTTCCCCAAGAGCAACCAGAGGCACCAGTGAAACCCCTTTAACAATCTGCAAGAGAAGGGTTTGAAATGAATGCAGCTAGAAGAGACAACTGGTACCATAGAAAATATTTATTGATATTTTTTTATTTCAAAACGTTGTGAAATGCATCTGTAATAAAAATAAGAAACCACGCTGTGCATCTTGCACATTTTTATACCAACAAAAGGTATTTTTTCCCCCACTGCTGCACAGCAGCAAATAAAACCGTTCACTTCTTTCAAGTCTGGCACTTGTGGTCTCCTCCTTCAGCCAACCAACCCTTCCTCTCTCCTTGCTGGAACCACCACCAGGTAGGACAGGACAGGACAGTGTCCCGCTCAGCGGGCGCCCCGGTCGCAGGGCTCTCAGGAGGCGTGCTGCCTGGTCACCAGGGCCCTCTGCATCACCACCGGCTTCTTGCTCTTTTCCAAGATCAAATCCTCCTGCTTCTGGGCAAGCTTTTGCTCTTGTGTCGGGGCAGGTTTCTTCTCCTCCTCCTCCTCTATCCTCCCTTCTGAGATGAACGGGCTGCACACTGTCTCCACCAGACCGATAACGACACCAAAGAAAGCCAGCACGCTGCCCAGCATGTACAGCTTGACCATCTTCCTGTTGGGCTTCTGGCTGAGCATTTCTTTGGCGAAGGGGATCAGCTCATGCATGGTTTCCATTTTTCGGGAGGCTTATTTTTTGTTAGCAGCAGATTTGGAAGATCTCAGCTCTACAAGAGAAGAAGAAAAGGACATTAGTTAAATCCAGCTGCTCTGTCCTGGAGCACTCAGGGCTCTCGGGCAGTCTGAGCTCTCTGCAGCCCCCCCACCTCTGCTTTAAGTGGGGATTTGGGATTTTGGATTTTTTCCTAGAGGCTCATTTCAGGAACCCC